GGTTACTCCAAACAGCTTGCAAGGAATGGCCAATGCTCCAGAATAAGAGATGTGCAGTGTCAGAATGTATTCTCTATGAACTATTTAGATAATCATGTGAGCCTGGACATCTCAAAAATAATTTTAGTGCTGAAAATACAAGTTGTGATTTGACTTTCTTTGGCATTAAAATTATTGCACTTGCCTTCGAACTGTTGTTCGGAGCATAAGACCTCTCACTGTTTATGTGAACATTGGTTGATTGACAGGTGTTCATTGTCTTGAAATGATGCAAATTTTCTATGAATGGCTAATGAACTATGTTAAGGAAAGTGTGAATTCAAGAAGTTGAAATATCATAGAATGACCAGCAGGAGAATGACCAGAATTTCAATGAGGAAAGAGAAACAACACTGAAATGAAGTAATAGGAATAAATTTACAACACTAAATGGAAGAGCATGTGTCGTGAATTATTTCTCCTTCCTTTCTATCATCATGCCTAAATGCGTGATACCAGTTGAATATGTTTTTATCTTCATTGTAGAAAATGCAGCTTGGAGCCAGTTTAAGTTAAACACAGGCATCTTCTCTGAATTTTATAGACTAATTTTTTTGAGATTAGGGCAGTGATAAATTCAATGAGCTACCCATTGAGAGTGTGAAATTTTTCTAAAGGGACAGGCAGTGACAGAGAAATGATGCTTAGCTGAATATCGAATTTCAGATAAAAAGAAATCATTAACTGGCCTTTATAAAAAGTGCATGGATTATGAATAACAGTGATTCACAGCTTATCAAGAAAATGAGAAAACTCAAGTTGAAAGGACAAATAAGCTCCCTGCTGTCACCACTAACATGTCCACTATTTATTTTACCTCCAAAAAACTTGGCCCAAGATAACTCAGCCAAAGACCCTAAGCAGGTCTCTAAAACATCAAATGAAAATATCTTAAAACTTAAGTCTCTGTTTACCTTATCTCTGTTTACTTTGTTGCCTGCCCTTATTTTCTGTAATAATTGTGATGGTAATGAATTTGGTTACCTAATATATTTTTTAAATATACCATTTAAAATCATTAAAGATATTTCTTTTAATCATTGGACAAACATTTACTAATTATTGGTTAAGTGAATGGTAGCCTGTGTTTGGTGAGAGATAGACACAAAGTAAAGTAACTGGAAATATTTATTGAGCTCCTACCATGTACGGAGTGACATACACTCTATTGAGTTAATTCGCAGCACAGTGTTGGGTGATAGATGTTCTCATCAACAATATGATGATCTGAGAAAAATTAGTACTTGCCAGAAATCACACAGATCAGTGAGAGGTGGCTAGAATTCAAAATTAAGTATGTGCAAGTGCTTGTTATTATTTAAAGCAGAGTGTAAGACATTCTCTCTGTCACTGAGGAATTTAGGATTGTGTAAATTAAGATTATGCAAAGTTCACTTTGGCATAGATCAAAAACTGAAATACTGGGTCAGTGAGATCCTCTCATTCTAAATAATGATAGTATCAAATATTTATTGAATATCCACTATGAAACAGGAACTGTGCTAGGTACATAATATTTTTTTAAGTGAGGTATATGTGTTTTTACATCTTGACTCTATTGCTTCTTAGAGCTATAGTCTCAGGCTAATTTATTTATCTATGACTCTCCAGTTTTGTACAATGGGTTTACTATTAGTATTTACTTCTTAGTGTAATTGTGAGGATTAAGAAAGTTTGTGCCTATCAGCTGTTTAGAAAGATGTTAGGCACATGGGCATGCTAAAATTGAGAATTATTAGAATATGGGAATTATTAGACTTATGATAATAAGTGCAGTCAGGAACGTAGTAGGGCCATATGATCATTTCTCACAAAGCTAGACTATCAACCCAAGTAATTTCATTTCTTTATGTTCAAAGCTTATCAAATCTTTACTTTGAACAATAGTAGAGAGTCCAAGGGTCATGGACAATTTTAGCTAGTCTTAGCATATCTTATAAATCATCAAGAGTGGATTTACCATTTCCAACATAGAAATACTAGAATAAGTGCATACAAGAACCTAGAGAGTGAACAGTCTTACTAGAGAATAAATTACAATCTCATTTCTTCTAGCCATTGTCTTTACAGAGGAAGCATTTGCGTCTGTAGCGGCATTGCTCATGTCTGAGAGTGTGAGGACAGTCAGCGTTTTACCCATGTATGTGAGTGCCATGTTTTTACTCTTTATATGTGGGCTACATAGGTAAAAGAGAGGAACAGATCGAGTTCACATAGGTTTGTTTGAATGTGATGTACATTATATAGACTTAGTTTGGTTAATTTATATCTAATTTTGTCATCTGGATATCAAAATTAGAATGGCTGAAATGGTTCAAGGACAATAACTTTAGGGGTTTTCTGGTTTTCCTTGAAATAATTAGGTTATTTAAACATAAATTTATTCCGTTGCTTTGACTGTACATTTTCTCTGTGTGGCCTCATGTTCTCAATTCAGAAAACTGTGGCTTTCAGTTCTGCTTTGCTAAATACCAGTTAGGTGTTCATATACTTTATTAGAAAATCCTCAACGAATTTTTACTGCACTAAAGTATTATTACTCTTGCATGTGCTTCCAAACGAACTTTCTACCATGTTCATTTGCATAGTGTTTTATTTTTTCAGAGTTCTTCATCCATTTTAAAATTTGAAACTCATACCTCTCTGATTTATTTGAGGGAGAAATTATTTCCTCTATATTTTACATTAAGAATGTTGAAGGATCTAAAGTTAGGAATTTGAACTTAAAATTGATGGCTGAATCAAGAATAGAAAGCAGAGATCTTCTCACATTCTCCAAATGATTAGCTAGAAATATAGGTGACAGTTTTTACATGGTGAACCACAAGTATATGAGGAAGCTGAAATGAAAGATTTCCAGGAAGGGAAATGAAGCATTATCTGTGGCTCTGAGAATGGAGAAAATTGGAAATTCAAACACGTACTTAGCACAATGGTTTGCTGAGAATGTCAACCAAGTTTACTTAGCCGGGCAATTAATTTTGTATCGTATGAAGACAGAATGATTGGCTTTGCCTGAGTATTCTAACAACCTTTGAACTTTCAGTTGCCTAACTTTATGTATGAACTATTTCCTTGTTTAGTTTGGGGTAGGGAAAACAATTCAGATGGTTGTTATTTCCATGCACATGATTAAATAAGTTTTGTTTATGTTCTTTCAAATGAACAAGTGATTTATTAAGAGTAAAACTTAAAGCCAGTATTTTAAATAGTCTTTATTTATAAGTTAGGAATTATTTACTTGGTATAACTAGAGGCATGACATCTCAATTCAATGGTTTCTTTGTTATAAGGTAATTCTAAATCTTAAAATTGTGCTATAGAAATAAATTTATTTATTCGTTTTATTGATTTTTTCTTTTTCTTTCTTTTCTTTTTCTTTTTCTTTTTCTTTCTTTTTTCTTTTTTTTAGGCAATGCAACCCTTGGTTGACTTCATAGATTTCAAGGACCTTGTCAGCTTACAATCCCTTATTTTTTAATTTTTTTCTCCTGCAGCACCTGATCTTCCTAGGTGGTCTCCCATCCAAGTACTAACCAGGCCCAACCCTGCTTAGCTTCCAAAATCAGATGAGATTGCACTTGTTCAGGGTACCATGGCTACAGGCAGATTTATTTGTTTTAAAGCTCAATTACAAAGGAAAATTTTATTTTGAAGGTGATGTAGGAAAGAATTGTAACACAAATGATGAAGAAAGAATTTAAAAATCAATTAAGGACAAATGCCATTACAAGAATAAGCAGAGGTATATCATAAATTTTAAGAAATGATGACAAAGATTAATAATGCATGTTGAGGTCACAATTTATAGTAAAAAGAATTGGACCATGTGGTAACCAGTTCTATGTTATTATTATTTTTTATCAGTATTGAGACTCAAACTAAGTTTAGAAGCTGTGATTGACCCCTGCTGAATTGCCTACATTTTCATATATCAAATCGTCTTGGTTTAACATAATTGCTACATAATGAAGAAATTCAAACTATCCTTGTAATTCCATATGTTTTCTATATACTTTTAATTAAAATACCTCTATTAAGACCTAGGGGATATGGCTAGTCAATCTCAAAATTTCCTTTCTGTTCAAAATAATTTTATGATTTAAAAATTTCATTTTCTCTATGAAAATCATATTTACTGAACCTTATTATTGACAACTTTATTGATTTGTTACAGTATCATTAAGATTATAATACAATCAGTAGTGAGTATTTCTTTGGTTAATATCAGTGACCATTTATTGATATTTTTTAATCTCATGTCCATTTGTGCCAAAGTCCCAGCAGATTTCCTCATTTCACAAATGCGATGGCTTAAGTTCAAATGAATAAAGTGATTGGTACCCAAAGTCACACACTGGCATAATTCGTAATGAAACCTGAGTCATGTCTGTTTGTCTTTACATAAATAGTATCCCATAAACCTCAAAGAATGTCTTCTGTAAATTATGGAGTGTCAAGATTCCTTATGAGTTTTGGCAAAAGTGATAAACTGGATACATATAGAACGGAAATTCATACTCTGATTCAACACACTGTGAAGAAATTGACTTGCAAAATGTGATTCTCTGAGTCAAGAGCAACAACACCATGAAGGTATAACTTCAGTCTGCTTTCCAAAGGTTTACTTGTACGTAGCTTTAGAATTGAAAAGTATTTCACAATGAATAAAAATTTTAAAATCTTTTTAATTGATTGAATGCATGCACTCATTTTTATTAATGTCAAGATTGGATATAATGTTCCGAATGGCTGACTTATGGAAATCATCGTGAGATTATTTAGAAAAAGGAATTATTAAAATCCATCGCATACTTATCTGAAACACTGGGATGATATCCATTAAACATAGCTTCACAATTTTAGTATTATCGTCAATATTCTCCATGAACATTTATGACCTTGATTTATGCATTATGTCTTTCCAGGGAACTGTTAATGCATTTTTACTGGGCTGGACCATGGAAGACAGGAATAATGTCACTGTGTTTATTCTGTTGGGACTATCTGAAAACAAGAACATTGAAATCTTCTGCTTTGTGTTGTTTTTATTTTGCTACAGTGCTATTTGGGTGGGAAATTTGCTCATAATGATTTCTATCACATTCTGTCCACTAACTGATCAACCCATGTATTTCTTCCTCAATTACCTCTCACTCTCTGACCTTTGCTATACATCAACAGTGATGCCCAAACTGATGACTGATTTACTGGCAAAAAGGAAGAGCATTTCATATAATAAGTGCATGGCACAGCTGTTCATCCTTCACTTCCTGGGAGGCATTGAGATCTTTATTCTCACGGGGATGGCCTATGACCGCTACGTGGCCATCTGCAAGCCCCTACATTACACCATCATCATGAACAGACAGAGGTGTAACAGGATCCTCATAGCTTGTTGTGCTGGGGGATTTATTCATTCTGCCAGTCAGTTCCTTCTCACCATCTTTTTACCGTTCTGTGGCCCCAATGTGATAGATCACTATTTCTGCGATGTGTATCCTTTGCTGAAATTAGCTTGCACCGACACATACAGAATTGGTCTCCTGGTCATTGTCAATTCAGGTCTGATTGCTTTGGTGACTTTTGTGATTTTGGTGGTGTCTTATTTTCTGATATTATACACCATCAGGGCTTACCCTGCGGAAAGCCGTACCAAAGCTCTTTCCACTTGCAGTTCTCACCTCACAGTTGTGGTCTTCTTCTTTGTACCTGTGCTCTTCATTTACATCAGACCAGCTACAACTTTTCCAGAAGATAAAGTGTTTGCTCTTTTCTACACCATCATTGCTCCCATGTTTAACCCTCTAATCTACACACTCAGAAACATGGAGATGAAGAATGCTTTGAGGAAAGTGTGGTGTCAGAAACTCTTTTTGATTGGAAGGCAAATCAACTGAAAAACACTTTCCTTCCTCATTACATACTCTAGTAAAGTGACCTTTGTTTGACTTAAGCTTATTAAACCAGGAGCTTCACTGTGTTAAAAATAATCATAGACGCTTGTGTCCATTCATTAACGATATAATTTACTTTAACATACTTTCTTTTTCTTATTTACACCTGCCCCTAATAGTTTGTGACATCATTTCATGATTGAAGTTCTCTTACACTTTCTTTGATTTTTTTAAAGCTTTTATCCAGAAGTTGGGAAAAAATTTTCTGCTTTGTGTTGTTTTTATTTTGCTACAGTGCTATTTGGGTGGGAAATTTGCTCATAATGATTTCTATCACATTCTGTCCACTAACTGATCAACCCATGTATTTCTTCCTCAATTACCTCTCACTCTCTGACCTTTGCTATACATCAACAGTGATGCCCAAACTGATGACTGATTTACTGGCAAAAAGGAAGAGCATTTCATATAATAAGTGCATGGCACAGCTGTTCATCCTTCACTTCCTGGGAGGCATTGAGATCTTTATTCTCACGGGGATGGCCTATGACCGCTACGTGGCCATCTGCAAGCCCCTACATTACACCATCATCATGAACAGACAGAGGTGTAACAGGATCCTCATAGCTTGTTGTGCTGGGGGATTTATTCATTCTGCCAGTCAGTTCCTTCTCACCATCTTTTTACCGTTCTGTGGCCCCAATGTGATAGATCACTATTTCTGCGATGTGTATCCTTTGCTGAAATTAGCTTGCACCGACACATACAGAATTGGTCTCCTGGTCATTGTCAATTCAGGTCTGATTGCTTTGGTGACTTTTGTGATTTTGGTGGTGTCTTATTTTCTGATATTATACACCATCAGGGCTTACCCTGCAGAAAGCCGTACCAAAGCTCTTTCCACTTGCAGTTCTCACCTCACAGTTGTGGTCTTCTTCTTTGTACCTGCCCTCTTCATTTACATCAGACCAGCTACAACTTTTCCAGAAGATAAAGTGTTTGCTCTTTTCTACACCATCATTGCTCCCATGTTTAACCCTCTAATCTACACACTCAGAAACATGGAGATGAAGAATGCTTTGAGGAAAGTGTGGTGTCAGAAACTCTTTTTGATTGGAAGGCAAATCAACTGAAAAACACTTTCCTTCCTCATTACATACTCTAGTAAAGTGACCTTTGTTTGACTTAAGCTTATTAAACCAGGAGCTTCACTGTGTTAAAAATAATCATAGACGCTTGTGTCCATTCATTAACGATATAATTTACTTTAACATACTTTCTTTTTCTTATTTACACCTGCCCCTAATAGTTTGTGACATCATTTCATGATTGAAGTTCTCTTACACTTTCTTTGATTTTTTTAAAGCTTTTATCCAGAAGTTGGTAACTGGTCACCTTTTTCATCTCCCCATTATCTGGTTCCATGAATGAATCTCCAAATGTACATAAGCTACAATCACATTGGGCATCCTAGACTTAGAGGGTCCATGTGATCTTTCTATCCTCCTTGCGTTCTCATCAAATTTAGCATCAGAAATTTAGAATCATATTTTCCATTCAGTTTAAGGTTTTTTTATATTCATTGCAATAAGTTAAATTGCAAAAGTTAGTGTTGTGGGATTTAAACAATAAAAATATCATTTATGTAAGAAATAATGGTTATATAAAAGTTGGAAGAATTTTTCTAATGTGGTTTTTGTAAAATAATGTTTAAAAAAATCACAAAATTTTAATAATTACAGAGACGTTTGCTTTTCAGAGCAATACGCTGCATAGACCATGAGAGTTGGCTTCACATTGTGATGTTCTGCTTGATTCTGTGTGCACTCTTCAAAGGTACAACTACAGTAGTTCTCAAATACACAGAGTCTCTGATTATTTGGTAAAAAAACAAAAATAAAAACTAGAACTCCAGGATATGAGGCCAAGGAATTCATTTCTGAATGGAGTTTGTATATGTGATTGCTTCTATTTTCTCATGATTATTTTTTATGGACATGATTATCTTTTATACCTTGAAGCCAAATAATGAGGGCTGGCTTATGTCATTTAGGTTAGCTTTAGTATCTGCTGAGTTGCTCTTCCTCTAAAATCTTTCAATGTATCAAAGTTCTTGGCCTGCCCCTCAACAAGTAAAACTTTTTACTACTTGTTAGGCTGGGACTTAGTGAACTCTAATTTTCCTGAGAGTGTGTGTGGGCATCCTTTTCACATATAAAGTGTAGTTTTTATTCTTCAGTAATGGGCTTGGTAAATTAAGTGTAATTTACCTTTAAATGAGGTAGTTCTGATGTAGTCAAAGATAAAAACTTCGTTTGTTCAATTATGTCCTGATAGTAAGGACATTAACTTATATCGAACTTATACAAAAAACTATTTGCCATCCAAACTAAGGACTCATTATATTACCTATAGAATCAAGATAGATTCAACCATTAATACTACTACCTTCAAATATGTTTTTATTGCTTTAAATGCATTGTATTTAAAATGGAATATTTAATGTATTAGATTTGCTAGTACTTTGTATAGGATTTTTTCATTCATCAGAGATATTGGTCTGTGTTTTTATTTATTTGTTTGTTTGTTTGTTTGTTTCTTTGTTTATTTATTGTAGTGTATTTTCCTTATCAGGTTTTGGAAACAGGGTAATGTTGGCCTCATAAAATTCAATTGTACACTTGTAACCTATATAATTTTATTAACCAGTGTCACCCCAATAAATTTAATAAAAAAATAAAATTTAACCCAAAGTCTCTAATCAAAGGATTTTTTAAAACTTAATCCTTTATAAAACTATTTCTCTTTATTCTTATAATTAAAGAATGTTCTTAAGTTCCCCCTAAAGATTCATAAATTGGCTTCAATTTTCTAGAAAACAGAACCTGAAGCAAAATTTATGCACCAACATTTTATTCAGAAATGTAATTCGAGAGAAATAGGTGTGAGGGAATGTGGCAGTGACACGTAGAGGGAAGTAGATCCAATACAAAGGATGGCATTACAGAGCTAGCTTCAACTTCACACCAAACATAGCATTTTGCAAAAGATGAATAGGCTTCAAATCATTGGCTTCTTTTGCCCACATCTTTCGTTGCACCAAACTTTCTTTATGGCATTTTTCATTTCCATGTTTCTAAGTGTGTAGATAAGAGGATTGAGCATGGGGACAATAATTGTGTAGAAGAGTGTAAACACTTTATCTTCTGGTAAAGTTGTGGCAGGCCTAATGTAAACAAAGATGACAGGTGCAAAGAACAGAATCACAACTGTGACATGAGAACTGCAAGTGGAAAGTGCTTTGTGGCGGCATTCTGCAGAATAGGCTCTCACATTATACAATATCATAAAGTAGGAAGCCATCAAAACCACGAAGATCACCAGTCCCATCAGGCCAGAATTGGCAATGACTAAGAAACCCATTTTGTGTGTATCAGTGCAGGCCAGTTTCAACAAAGGGTATACGTCACAGAAATAATGATCTATTTCATTGGGGCCACAGAAAGGTAAACCAATCGTAAGAAGAAACAGGCCCAAGGAATGCAGAAACCCCCCTGCACATGATGCTATGAGAATTGCATTACGCCTTTGCCTGTTCATGATAATGGCATAGTGGAGGGGTTTGCAGATGGCCACATAGCGGTCATAGGCCATGCCAGTGAGGATGAAGACCTCGATCCCCCCAAAGAAGTGTGTGGTGAAAAGCTGTGTCATACAGTTTTTGTAGGAAATGACCTTCCTCTCTGACAATAAGTCGGTCATTAGTTTGGGTGTCACAGTAGATGTGTAGAAGAGGTCTGAGAGTGAGAGGTAATTAAGGAAGAAGTACATGGGCTGGTCAATCAGCTGGCTGCATGTGATAGAAATCATGATAATCAAATTTCCTAACCAAATAGCTATGTAGCAGAGTAAGAAAAATAAGAAGCAGAGGATCTGGACTTTTTTATTCTTAGAAAGTCCCAAGAGAATAAATTCAGTAATATTATTCCTATTTTCCATGCTCTGAAGCTCCAGAAAGTTTTCTGAAAATATAAAAGAATTAAAACAAGTAATTGACGAGAAAATGGAAATATATTATCTAATTAAAATGGCATTAATGCATTTTTTAAGACCGAAGCCATTTTGAGATCCATCGAAGTCACTCTTTCTTTTAACAAAGTTCTTTTAAATGTCTAGTCTCAGTAGTTTCCTAGGAGCGATATGGCAACAGAAGCAGATTGGACTTTGGGTGGTGAACACACAATGCAGTATATAGATAATATATTACTGAAGCCTATATAATTTAATTAATCAATGTCATCTCAAAAAATTTAATTAAAAATATTATTATAAAAAGAACCAAGGATACAGTGCTGAATGAGACAAAAATCCTAGCTTTTGTATAATTTAATTTTTTTTTTTTGTTAGGAAGCAGGAAATGATTCTGATCAAGAATAAAAAAATTAAATATTTCCAACAGTTTTAAGTATGGTGAACATATAATGTGCCATTTAAACTGGAGAATTTTGAATGAAACAGCATCATTTGTAATTACACTATGATAATGGGTATAAACCATGACTTTCCAGGGAGAACCAAGCTATATGTTTCACACTGATGATGAGTCCTCCTCACCAATATGTGGCTGAAAACTGCTTTGTGTATTTTGTAAGAATATTTAGCACAATTAACTAGAAAAATAAATTTGAGGTAAATTTGTAAATGATGAATTATTTGAATATGTTATTTTGATTATCCAATTACATGTTTATTTGTAAAGCAACTCCTTACTCTACCACCAATTTACAATAAATCTTATAATTCTAACTTTTAAAAAATAAATTTGAATTTTAGTCATGGAAGAAATAGAAAAATTCAGATCAGTATTAGAAGGTACATAGCAGTGAATAAATAAAAATAAGTTGATAACAATAGCAAATAATAATGATTAAATTATTATTAAGAAGGTACTATTTTAATTTTTACATACATTAACATATTATGTGCTCAGTGAATCCCATTAAATATTATCCTTACCTTCACAAAGCACTGAATCGATCAGTAATGAATTTGAGCTCACACCTCTAGTGGCAATCTGTACTGTTTTTATACCCTTGTAGACTCAATTTTGAACCTGTGCTCTTAAATACAATGTTATGTTACTTTTTGGAACTGTGGAAATCTTCAAAAAATTTTGATAAAAAACTATGTGTGGGAACTATTGGAGAAGTGTTTACTAAGTAAATGGTTGTGGCATTTATACCAGTAGAAAGCCAGAAGAAATGATTTTAGATCATTCTTGATTTGATCATTTTCAAATAAAGTAAAACAAGTTTAAACATCATCGATACCTTTGCCTTTTATATTAAATTAAATGCATTCTATGTAGGCAAAATTAAAGAGGCATATGGTTGAAAAATAGTTTTTTTACTTTTTTCAACTTTAGAATTATTATTAGTCAGTGCTGCTTCTTTATAAGAAAAATTTATATGAAGTTAAAAAATTTTTCAGTTTATCTTCAGTTGTGTTATATCCAAAAGAAATTATTTAAATATTTAAGTATATATTGTTAACAATGGTTATTTCATGATGATTAGACGATAGAGATTTTAATTTTCCAAATTATATCCTTCTTTATTTTCCATTTTTTGAAACCATGAACTTGTATTTATTTTTAGAAAAAAGAAAATATTTTATAAAAAAGTATATTTTACATAACTAGTAATTATGTTTCAAATTATTTAGAAATTGCCTTTGTGTGTATGAATGTCTATTTTTCCTTTAAATGTAGTTTAAAATACTAAAAAATTGTGCGCACTAGAGTCTGAAGCCCACTTCTAATTTTCAGTAAGAAAACTAAGACCAAGAGCTCAAATCACATCATTTATTCCTAAATGAGAACTTACTGAGGAAAAAAAAGTGAATTGAGTTTTTATTAGGTTTCTTTTAGTTGAATAATTGATGAACCTGGAAATACTGTTCAGATTTGGTAAATAAGTAGAAATATCTCAATTCTATTTGTCAATAATATCAAAGATCTTGCAATGTTAGACAAATTGGATAAGGACTCTGAAAATTTCAAAGCACACGATTTTGAACATTGTCATGAGACTGTGACACAGAGCAGGGTGTGACCACAATAAGAACAACATACATCTATTTTAAAAATGCCCCATTTTTTCCTACTTATCTACTTTTTCAAAATAAGTAAACCTTCAGAAAAATAATTTAAGTTAAATTTATTAGGATGACTGGTTAGTAATATGCTATAGATTTAAGTGTACAGTTCTATAATACATCATCTGTATATTGCGTTGTGTGTTCACCACCCAAAGTCAAATCTCCTTCCATTCTCATATTTTGGACCCCCTTTTCTGTTTTTTAACTCCCACCTCCCCTCTTCACCTTCTGTGAGATATAAGACTGAAAGCAACAAAAGAACAAGACGAACAAACAAAAACTCATAGACGCAGACAACGGTTTAGTGGTTACCACAGGGAAAGGACAGAAAAGTAATTTGAATTACAACGCAATAATATTTGCCTAGGTTGAAAATATTATACAGAGAGGGGGACTCCTCTAATTTCAAAATAATTCCCTTAAACATGATACAATAAAAATAAAATAACTTGCTTTGCTTAATCATTTTCTCCCATAGCTTCTTCTCTTCTGGAGAATGCACTCACACAAGATGGCATAAATCTATAAAAACAAAACAAAACAAAACAAAAACCCAAACCTTAATCTCTTTATAGTCTCTCAAATGGAAGCATTTATACTTACATTCCAAGTAATTATGTAGTAAATGCACTGTAGACAAGAGACCTAGATTTTTCTCCCAATCAGTTATTTAATTGTTCATTCCTTAAGATTTCGGGCTCCCATCTGTAAAATAAAGGAGCTGGATTAGATAATCTCCCCAGATTCTGATAGTGTGGGACTCTTGATTCTTTATTAGTTTGGAGAAAATATGTGTTTGCTTCCCTCCAGCCTCTCCCGCTTCATTGGATGCATTAAAACCTTGGAAAATATAGTATTGGCAAGTTCATCACCATTTCTGTACCTGGGTTTCCTTCTCAGTAAAACCAAGAAAATGTTACTATTTCCATATAGGGTGTTTATTTGAATTAAATAAGTTGGTAATGTGAATTTTCTTCTAACAGTGCCTGGAAAGTACTACACATTGAGTAATTGTTAGCCACTTTCAAAGTTACTAAATGTAAGATCAAGGCCCTAGAGGAAATGTAACATCTACAGGGCAGGAGTTATACCTTATACTATCTCTCTCTTCACAGTATTGGAAATATCAGAAACTTTTTGAGATAAATCTTAGTTTGGAACAGAACTCTAAATGTTAAAATTCAAGATTCTTCATCTCCTTGAACATTTTCTCTCCTTCTTCCATAAAATGAGAATTGCAATGCTTAATTTACAGGATGTCTGTGGAATTCAAATAAAATTACATATATGCAGTGCACTGCTCAAAACATACTAGTTCCTCCTGCTTCCTCTCTGGAACCCCCATGGTGTTATGCATTTAGCAGGTACTCACAATATTCCAATAGGAGTGGATCCTCGTAATTAAGACGATGTGAGATAGGATCCTGGCTCCAAAATTCACTTGAAACATAATTTTGGGCAAACTATGCAAGCTCGATTTCTTCACCTATAAAATGTGTAATACAATAATTAACTGTGAAGTCTGTATAAAGATGTTATGAGTTTATTTATATAAAAGCTTAGGATTGAACCTGGCATATAGATGAAACATTTAATAAATATATTTCTCAATATTATACATATTTGTTATATCAGAGGACATAAATAAAAATTAAGAATAATGTCATCTTATCATTCTTCTTACAAGTTTTGAATAGCTTATTAAAATATATAATATTTCAACAGGGATAGATAAAAGAAGATAGATAAGACATAGCCTAGCTGCCCTGCCATGAAAAATCTGTTCTTTCTTACTTGAAGCGTGGCGTTTCTCACATTGGGGAAAAATTCTCTCATTAAACAAAATCTTTTCCTCTTGGTCATAAGTTAGCTGACCTTCTCCCCACACACCTGAAGGTAAGCTTCATGCTTATGCCCATTATTTAATGCATTTTCCCCTTTGAATTTATTGATCCTGCCCAAATTACATGGACGTTCATATTCCCCTTTTATCTTTAAAAAATTCTCTATATTAAACTCAGATAAAAGAAACATATCCAATAGATATTAGGCATTTGCGTAGATTGATTAAAAATTCGACCTTCTTTTTTGCTTCTTCAGTCTTAGAATCGTACTGGTACTTTGCTTCTTAATTATTTTGTGTTCGCTTCCTTCACTGAAATTCTGCTCACTGACCTGTTGGGTTGGTACATGCACCTTCATATTTAACTTTTCTCTATCACGATGGAAATGGAGAACTAATCGTATGATTAACTTCATGAAATTTTAAAATAAAGCAAAACAAATAAATCTAGTAATATTTTGATGCTTAGATTTATGGCACTGCTTACTTGAGTAGCTAATAAACAGATTTAAAGTTCATCATAGCTAGTTATAAATGGAAGGGAAGGTGCCAACTTTCCCAAAATATTAAAAATAGCATTTTTAATGATTCTGGTTTCTTTCCATGTAAAGGCTTATTAGCAGAATTAGATCATAAATACAATCTGAATGATTCAAAAATGCTTTTTTAAGGAAAATGACTAATACATTTATGAACTGTATTTAACTTACCAGCTACTTAACTCATCGAGGGTTTCTTATAAACTGAGGCTTCACACATAAGATAAAGTCAGAGTAATAAAAAATTAACATTGCTGTTCAGTAATAAATCTCAGATCATATTAAGACTTATGAGAGAACTCTTGTGAATTCCATCAGTAAATATCTATTTGGAAAATTAACCAAAGTTGAGATTATCTTTTAATAGCTATTTTTCCATTTCTAAAGAAGAAAATAGTATCTCCTTGACATTTACCTCTGAATCTAGAGAAATAATATGTATATATTCTTTTTGATAT